ACTCTTTCATTAACATCTGCTCAGATTAAGAAGCAATGATTCTGTAAGGATTTTGATTTAAAACTGAGGGAAATGGACAGTAATAATCTGTCAGTGTTATAATGATATTCCTCAGAAACTGCTGTTCCATTAATGACTTTATCCTTCATATTGTCGGCCGTTTGAGCTCTTTGCTGCAGGACTCAACAATATGGACGGCTGGGCCAGTGTGAGAGATTTTGCGGCCAGTTGACTGAACTGTCACTTACCTACTGAGCAGAGCTGCGTTGTCATAACATTTTACATTTATTAATTACCTTTATGTGTTTCTACACACACACACACACACACACACACACACACACACTTGTTGGGTTTCCATGTTTTATGGGGACTCTCCATAGACTTAAGTTTGTTTCCTCATGGGGACCTAAAAAATGTCCCCACAAGGTCAAAATTTACTGGTATTACTATCCTTGTGGGGACATTTGGTCCCCATAACGTGATAAATACCAGGTAAACACACACACACACACACACACACACACACACACACATATTGTACATATATAAAATGTACAGTATATACATTTTATATGTGTGTGTGTGTGTGCGTGTGTTTGTGTACCTACTTGTACCCAAAAGTGAGCAAAACCTGACAAAATCTCCAAAAACCTCCCTTTGGAGACATCCTGATTTGTAAAACTGGTATAAAAATTAAGTAAATTAAGTTTTTTTTTTAAATTGTAAAAATGCAGAAAATTTCCTGCAAGGGGTAGGTTAAGGTATAGGGCAATAGAATAGTTTTGTACAGTATAAAAACCATTACGCCTATGGAATGTCACCACTTAGCTAAGTAAACGTGTGTGTGTGTATATATATATATATATATATGCGTGTGTGTGTGTGTGTGTTTGTGTATACATACACACACACACACACACACACTATATACACGTATATAGCATAGCTCAACAGTGTGTTGCTAAAAATAAAATGCTTAATTTTCATGAGGAAAGAAAATGTTAGTAGGGCGGAAGTACAAAAATCTACAGGGCCATCCCGAGCAGCAGGACAAAATACTTATTGTTGAGCTGCTGTCACTGCTGGTCATGTTGACATCATCGAAGATTCATTGAGCTCCTATTTGTCTTAGTTAAAGATCTGAAAAGAGCCCTGAGGTCACCCTGTCGTCTGGACACACAGCTGAAGGAGTGGCAGTGGATCAAGGAGAGGACTGTTAGCGATCTTCTGTGCTGTGCGTGTCTTGTTTCATGTCTTCTATCCACGTCTCCCCATGAGACCGCATCAATCAGAGTATGGATATCCTGCTGAAAGTCACTCATATATAGGTACATGTGTGTATTTCTGTCACTCTTACTCACACACGCAAACAAACAAATGCACAAACAGCAGGGCAGATTGTCAAGCGCTCCAAAAATACTCTACTGAAACAAGATATGACGTGGCCAACTTCTGAACAGAGCACCCTCCACAGGTCAAGAGTACATAGCAGTCCTTCAGTTACTGATAGGATCAGTCTGAGTAAATATAGTAAATATAGTCTGAGTAAAAATAAAATAAATAAATAAGCAAATGTTATTATAAAAGTGTTATATTATTATTATTGAATTTAATTTTATTAAATGTATAAATTTAATTATAATAATTCCACTTGTACAGAACACTTTTTATTTTCATCGGTGCCACCACAAAATGCTATTCTATTATTTTAATTTATCTGTACTGTTACTAAAAGCGAAAATGGAAAATAATAGACCTAATAAATAAACAACATATAATAAAATATAATATAATATACATCACAAATGTACATCACAAATTTGAATTGGGCATGCAACTTTTTCCCAGTTCTGTTCCTCTTTCCCCCTCAACTCTCCATAAAAAGCATGGGAAAAAAATTCTAAATCAGCCAGAGA